GTCCGAGAGGACTGAAATTTCATCTGTGCTGTATGTCGTGCATGTATAGCATACTTGACAATAAAGTTGAATTGACTACTGTGCATGCTGGCACACAGTCACAATATCATGGCTTACAGGGACAATTGAGCTGAAGGGAGCCTCGTCATTGTAATAATTTTAACACACAGTCTAAATGTGTGTGGTCAGAATAGGGATGGGAATTGATAAGAATTTATTGATAAAAAAACAGTATTGATTCTTCTTATCAGTCTGATTCTACTTCTTAATCACATTTTATTGTGTGTAAAAATGGCCTACATAGGTTTTCAGCATCAACGCAACTGTTTTATCTCTGAATCTGAACAGTGAGGAAACAGAGTATGGCTGATTTGGCTGTTCAATACAAAGGTTTGACTAATTGTTCCTCTTTTTTCTGTTATTTTTTCAGTTCAACTGCAACAGTTCCAAACGGAGCTCCATCAGTCTCACTTTTTAACATTCTTTTTTGTCATGTGTGTAAAAATGTGCGTCCTGTTTACAGTTCAATTTTGAAACCCTAAGCACGGGGTGCGTCTGCAGCCAAAGAGTCCTTCCATGGACGGCTTTAGAGGAGGTTGAACCACCGTCTGCAGCCGCAGTCCTGCACCACACTGCCTTCCGTTAAGTATCACTCCTCTCCGCTTCCATCACAGTTATATTAGTTTTGTGGTCATATTGAGGCTCGGTTTGTAAAGTTTACAGCCTGCCATGCTGTCACTCGTTGAACAATGACACAGCTAAAAAACAAAAGTCGCCTGAGGATGACTCAAGACAAGTTTTCGGGGGCTTCCCTAAAAAAATATCATAGTAGAATTATAGCAGCTTAGACACTGACGTATGGCCAATAAAATCTAAGTCTTATTGGCTCTATGGTTTCACTTCTGGGCTATGTGGCTGTTTGGTTGAGGGACTGTTCAATAATGGAACAATCCTTTGCTTATTATCAAAACAAACATCTCTGATTGGTTGTTTTCATTCAGCCCGATGGATTACTGCAAATGCCATTAGGAGCACTAGGAGGAGCCAGAGGAAGGTAATTATTTTTTACAGATTATCTGTCTGTGTACTACTGTCAGAAAATAGTGAAAATTCCATTAACTAACGTTATTTACAGAAGAGCTCCAAAATAATAAACATGCGTGACATAAATATAATTAGTGAGGTAGAAATAAGTCAGGCGTGGATATATTTACGTTAACTTTAGTTATAAGCAACGGGTGACTTTCACTTTATGAACACCACATCTACGGTGTTTATGGAGCACACACGGTGAAAAATGCACTTATGAACACAGGAAATCACCATAACCACCATAAGACGGTTTGGACTAACGGACAGTTACCATAACGCTAGCTACGGCTAATTTAGCTAACTAAAAGTGGAGTTTATGTAACGTTAAAAACAAGAGCAACGTAAGAACACTACCACTGAAATCACTCACAGTAGACTATCGGTAGTTAGCTAGTAAGCTAACGGTAGTTATCTGAGGTTAAAAACAGATGCAAGATGTTGACGTGGGGCCGCTAAACAACCAGACGGGGAACTGGCATATTATTCCCGTTACACGGTTAGCGACTGAAGAGCCAGTCAAGAGTTTGCTACGGTACCGTAAACGTGCGCATAATAAAACCGCTATCCGCTTCATTTGCGTCTTGGTTTGTTGTGACTCCTGATCGCTAGCCTTAAGTAGTGCAGGTTTGCTGTCAACGTAAACTAACGCACGTCAAACCAAGTGAGACTGACAGTGAAAACAAGTAATTGCATTATGTAACAATAACTCTACATTACCTCCCGTCTCGTTGGATATTCTTGACGAGTCCGACACTATCACAGTTCGGTAGACAGCTAACGCGAAGTTAGCTTCCAGTGTGTGATGGCACAGCAAAGCTTCTTCCAGGACGGAAACACGGCTCCGTTTAACCGTGTTACCGGACTGCACGATGAGTCTTTAACGAATGTGTTTCCGGTCTCTTGCTGGGCAGCACGGATTCTTTCATTCCACAAATAAAAGTTGGTTTAATGCTTTTGGTCCTCAAACACACATCATGGAGAAAATAAGCAGACAATTTTCGTTCTTCAGCTAAAATGAAAGAACTTCCAGTTCACGGTACAGTTCAGTTCCGGTGTTGTTGCGAGTTGTCCCCACTTTTTCTTCTGTCGATGCTCGCGGCAGGCAGGACGCAGCAAAGGCGTTTTGCTGCCCCCTACAGGTCATTCCATTGAATTACTAATATTCTTGCATTGAGTGTGAATCCTTGCATGGATAATATTTATTACAGTTTATGTTATACCACCATGAGCCGCGATGAGTATTGACTTAAAATAATGATCTGTAACTCCACTTTCTGCCAGTTGAGCTTACATGAAGCTTCTCTCTGTTTGATAATTGGTGCATTCCATTAAAACGTGACTCCTAGTTTCTGCCTGCCCACAGATACATTTTCCATCCAGGTGCTTACCAACCAGTGCCAGCCCATTCTTATACATATATATATATATATGTTTGGGGGTGTGGGGTTGCGGCTTTTTGCCTTTATTGGATAGAACAGCTGAAATTAGACAGGAAAGAGGGAGAAAGAGACAATGGTTAGCCTGGCCACTACCAAACTGTCCCTCCTGCCAAATTTCCTATAAATAATAGGCGTTTCAATGACGGCTGTATTGAAAAAGAAAACCTGCCCCTGTTTACCACCACCGCCATAACTTTGCTGTTCCTTGTTGTATTAAACTCAACTAAACTAAACAAAAACAACCAATCAGAGCAGAGAAAGATAGCTGATTCTTGAGTCTCTTTTCTTTCTCACTGGGAATGAAACTATCTTCAAGCCACCAGCCCAAAGCGTCTTTCTATCTTCATGCCAAATTATTCTTACAGAGACTTGATGCATCAAAATTGGCATTAAAGGAACCGCCTAAGCTGGGTAATCATATATAGATCTGGTTCGCAGTTTGTACATGTAACCGATGAATCTTCAATAAATACACATTTAATACCATGGAGTTACAAAGGTTCTTTATCTTGGAACCAATCTATTTACTTTATATATATGCTCCCTTTAGAAAATTTTAATTAGGGAATCACTCATTATCTTCACTTTTATGCAGAGATATTGCAGTTATATCTTCAAAATCAAGCCCGATGAATGTAATCCCAATTTCTTAAATACAACATGTCAAGGAACATTAAAATCCTGATGAGCAGCAATTTTCTGATGATGTTTCTAGATGGCCTCTACCTGCCTCTAGCACCACTGTCAGGGAAATCTTGGGAGTTATCTTTGATTTCAGGATTTGTCATTTACTCTGGCCCTCCTCTGCTCCTAATGGTATTTACAAGATATCTCACCGGGCCCCTGAATGAAAACACCAATCAGAGCCAAGGATTCTGATTCTGATTCTGATTCATGTTCTACTTCATGTTCTCATTAAGTTAATAATGACCTTTTGATTGCTTCCAACAATGGACTTGTCTCTGTACTTGTATTATTAGATCTTAGTGCTGCATTTGACACCATTGATCATAAT